TACTTTCTTTTTAAACCTGTAATTAGAAACTTAAAGCTTGTTTACTTCTCTCAACAAGTTCATGCAAATATGATCGAAGTTTCATTTAATATATTCATAAGAATACGATGTACCAAAGATTGAACCGATTAAAATTCCCGTATACCGTGCGTCATCGAAGGTTTACTCGTGTAATAAGGGGAATTATTCATGCAGCTTTAGTAGAGAGCTACCAGAGATTTTTCATTTCTCCCTGTGGCTTTTAAAGCTCTTTAATTACACGCTTTAAAGAGGAGATACGAGGCTTGTTGTTGGCAAATCTATCAGCGAAGGTACACACGAATTTTCTAGTTGTTTTTTTCGTCACGCGATTTCCTCGCGATGTTCGTGAAAATTTATCGCACCTTCGGTTTTAACGTAACAATCTCGTTTCTACGGTGGTGTGGCTGTGTTCGTTCGTTGTGGAACGTCGATACGAGACCGCAGCTATCGATTTTAACGGAGATTCTGGCTGTGACGCGAAAGGTGGTTACGCATCTCGCCAAAGGCACTAGCAAAATCCACTTGATCGAATGGTTCGCTGAATCTTCAAATTGATTCCGTGAGTAACATCCCGTGGTGCAATTCCTGCGACACAATGACTCGATGAAACGTTTGACGCCCCAATGAAATGTTGCCTTCGTTCCCTGGAACATTAAACTCCATTCCGATACACGTCACTTCTACCAGAGACCTGTTATGGCGTTTCACTTGTCCGTGTTTACACTGCTCGGATTAACCGAGAACTCGCGTTACTCGGTTTTGGATAATCGAGTAAATGTCGGAGATGAAAATAATTTGAGAAACAAAATGGGAAGATTTATTATTTGGCTAAATTCAGGTAATGAAATTTTGAGTTAGGTTAGGTTTATTTTATTTTATCTGAATTATCTGAATTTTCATTTGAAATTAATAAGCATTTTCAGAAGAGCATAATCTACGTGATTCAAAAAAAATTTCATTAGTTTGTGATTTTTCCACGAAATTCAGCTAACGAAATTTTAGGTAAGATTTGTTTTGTTACTATTTTGATCTGAATTTTCACTTGAAGTTACTGAGCATTTTCAAAAGAGCCATTTTCCACGTCGTTAAAAGAAATTTTCACCAGTTTGTGATTTCTCGACAAAATTCAGCAAACTAAATTTCAAATTCGTTTTCGAAGGAGCCCGAGGTTAGATGAGGTTTATTTCACCATTTTTTCATCTGAATTTCCACGTGAAACAGCTAATTGTTTTCAAAAACCCGTTGTCCACCGCGTTCAATAGAAATTTCGCGACAAAATGTCACGTTCATTTTCGAAAGGTTAGCTTTACTTCGTTACCTTTTATTTTCACCTGAAGTCACTAACCATTCACCGTATTCAACAGAAATCTCCACGCAGCTCGCGATATTTCCGTCGGAATTCAGCTAATGAAATTCCAGGCTCGTTTTCGAAAAAAAGTCTCCACGCAAAAATACCGTTCCGCGTAGACCGACGAAGTTACCCATCCCCGTTCCTCACCGCTTAATTCAAGACACAGAACTGCACTCTCTTTCCACCGTCAAAAATGCAAAATTTCTAGCCTCTCTCTGTCTCTCTACCCTTCGCCAGAGTTGTCCATGCAAAATGTCCAGGTATTTCCCTCCGGATTTTCGTCAGATTCAACACCGAACCAACCATGCGTCCATTAAATTTTAACACTTCCATAGCAAGATTTCTCCCTTTTTCTACCTTTACTTTTTTCCCCAACTTTCCACCGGTGGTGTAAGCAACGTTTCGCGAATTCACGGCTAGATTGCACGATACGCGAGGTAATTCGACATCAAAGAGAGGAGAGACAGTGTGCTGGTTTGGTCCAGGACGTTAAATGGGTGAAACGGTGCAGAGAGGAAGAAAAAGAGGCGGACCCTGTGAGCGAGAGAACAAAGAAAACACGACAGGTACGCTCCGAGATGATTTCTTACGCCACCGCGAATTTTCATTTCACAGAACGCCACGGGCGTTCTTTGATTCGGCAGGCTGGTCTTGTATCGCGAATAAATATCCGCCCCAGTTCACTTGTTCCTTGCAGGAGAAAGGAACGGAGGTGGGATAAGGTAGCAGCCTCTTCTTCTTCTTCTTCTTGTTTTTGATTCTATCTCTGAAGAGAATACGCTCGGTGTTTTCAGCGGCTTTAAACTTTCGCCTGCTCTTTCATAACGCGGAGGATGAAAAAGTTGAAGGTTAGCGTTACACGTGCTCATTTTTATGTAGGTGATATTCTATTTCTTTCTCTCTTTTTGCTTGGTGGAATTGAAGAAAAGTAGCTAAACAAAAGAGGTGTATCGTTGCTATGCGAGTGAGTATCGTGGTAACTTGTGCGAGGATGTATGTGGTATTGTTATCTGTTTGAAATAGATACGGCGGGAGGAAGTTAGAGGTTGTGGGGAAAAAGTTGTCGGAAACGATAAGGCGAGGTGTTTTTTTTTTTTGTTTTTTGCTCTTGGTTCGTTTCCGGGAATATTTTACGTATTTTATTCGCAGGACTTTTCGTGGATTTTGTTACGTTATCGAGAAGGAACTTGTTTACCTGTATGTTATTGATATGTTCATATGGAAGGGCAGATAATATTTCGATGGAACAACTGCAGGTATGAATAAATAAAAGTTGCCGGTATCGGATTGCAAAAATATGTGATTTACGGTCCGACGTTCTTTTTTCCATTTTTTATATTTTTGGTATCTCGTATTATTCGGCAGGGTTGCGAATTTATCATGCTTCCTTTTTATTGTGTTCCATTTCATCGCGATAAATTATTGAATTTAGGGTCTGAGAATTTTTGTTACATCGTGCTTCGAATTTTCTAATTAATTTCCTTATATTTGTAATTATGAAATTTTGTCCACATTTTAATTTAATCCTTTGTAACTACTTTCTAATGGATTACTCAGTAAATCTTAGTAATTCTGAGTAAATTCTGAGTAAAATTTAGAATAGAAATAAATTGATGTCATGCCTTCATTTTCCAAGATTATTGTTAAGTCTTTTTAAGATCTCCATGAAACCTACTGAAATTAGAAACTACTCAAAATATCACATTCAAAAAATCAGCATTTGCATCGAAATTACCTAAATCTTGGATTAATAAATTTTTCATCGTGTCGATGTTATTCTATTAAAATTTGAAGAGATAAGGGATCGTTTAGATTTTCTTCACTTTATTTCTTACTTAATATCGACGTTCCTTTTACCAGGTAAAAATATCGATGATTTGTTTAAAGTCTGCCGACATGCACAATGTGTCTCGAAGTTAAATATTAATCTCTCGCGTAAAATATGCAGCACGATATGCATCACTGGAGTAGCTTATGAAGTCTACCTCCATACGCGCTTATTTTTCTCTTCCACGACGACAGATGACACGTTTAAAAACCGTTCAATCTGTCTTTTCATCAGTTTCGCTTTCGATGTTTCGTATCTTCTCGTTCAATGTTGTTACGGATATAATGGCGTGTCAGTTGTTGCGCGTGTAATGCTTCGAGAACTAGTTTTCATTGGATGGCTCGAATGACATAAGATAACATCGACGTGAAGATGTGGTTTTAACTGTGATACCTCGTTCTAGAAATTTCGAAGCAACCTAGAAACGCGGTTAGTTTAATGAACGCTATAGAGATTTTTGTGTCGTACATAATTGGAGTCTGTTGAAGTTCAGAATTTTTATTCAAAATTAGCGTCATTGCCAGTACGATACAAAAAATTTGGATATTTGGATGTTTCGAGGTAAAAAGATATTCGATTCTTCTTCATGTTTTTATATTTTTGAAAGTTGCTTCTTATGAGAAATGTTTGGGAGAATAAGTAAATTTAAAGGTCTTCTTTTTCATGTTTTTATATTTTTGAGAACGTTGTTTTCTATGAGAAATTTTTTGGAAAATTAATTTTTTAGAGTAAATAAATTTAAGGTCTTCTTTTTCAAGCTTTTATATTTTTGAAAATTCTTGGAGAAAATATTACCTTTCATTTCAAATTTAAGGGTAATTTTTCTGTAGATAATCATGTAATTTGGCATACTCGGAGAAAAATGTTTTTCGACACGTGCGGTGTAATTTAGATTCTTCGTAATTTCGAGGAGAATACAAGCTTTAATTTCAATCGAACTTCCCATTAAAGCACCCTAATTACGCGACACTTTAACAATGTGCTCACATAGATAACGTGTCCCTTTCGACCATAAATTCACATTAAACACGCATCCGAGTGAAAGTCACGTATCAGACTCTGAACTTTACTGTCCTCGAGCTCGCCAAGCACTTGCCAGTTTTAGAGCGTCGCAGACATTCGCTAATGATTCGTAACTTACCGTGGCGAAAGCAGAAATGAAATGTAACAATTCCAACAAGCATCTCTTCTCTTTCTTATTTTTTATCAAATAAAATTTTCTCGAGAAATTAAAAGTTCCATCGGTTCGCTGTATCGGAGTCGCGAGAGCCATGTAAAAGTTCTTTGCCAGCCGATTTCACGGTAGAACGATTTTAGGCCGTGGTTTTCACGAAATTCCGTGAAGTTTCCGTGAGAACGAAGTCTTTGTCGCTCTCTCTTGCCGCTTTCATTCTTTAAAAATTGCAACCGTGTCTTTCAATTTTCATATTCTGAAGGAGTGTCTACAACTGTACACCCGGGTCGATATTGGTTTTTATACGAAACTTTTGATTAAATTGTCAGTCAACTTTCGAAAATATCCAGAGAGAGAAGCATCGAGTATTTTTTTCTTTTTTCATAATTTTATCATTCAATTTTTTCGCGACGGTATAATCTCGACGAATTGTTTCATTATTGCCGAAGAGGAGTGACGTTTATAAATTGAACCGAATAAAATTATTTCGTTCGATTCTGTTCGCCGTACAGAAATGTTTGTTTTATTCAGAATGATGGAAGAACGTGAAATTTTGGGAACGCCTCGGGGTCAATTTAGGGGATTATTTATCTGTAGAGACCGAGATTGTAATTCGTGGCACGTACCTGCGGTATCCGGAAAAGTCGTAGCAGGTTTGCCACTTGGATAGATGTGACCGAGCTAGCCGCTCCAACGACTCCACTGATAACTTTTCGCACTGCAGTTTTATTGCAGTGATACTCTGCACCGTCTATATTGCTTATCGATCCTGGAACACAAATTCAACCATGCTAACATTAATTATCGTCTCTCTGATATGGAACTTGCATTTTCTTCCAATCGTTTTTGCATATATTCTTTACTCGAACGTTAACAATTGAAATATTCCAATCCACAACGTTGTAATTGTCAAATTTTCAGAAACTCAGTTGTAATTACCAGGAGAAAAAGATTTTCTTAGAAATAAAATATTTTAAAAATTATTTTGCATTAATAAATGCACGAAGTCCTCATTTTTACATTTCCACTCATTTCTGCAACTCTTTTCGTTTTCCAGTTCCCTTGAAAATTTTACCTTTTCATGTTCGAAACGTTATGGTTCAGCACTCTTCAATAGTTGATTTTTAATAATGGTTGGTAAGAATGTAAGGTTGCACTGTAAACGCGAGATAAGAGAGGAATGTATTTTTTAATTCGTGGAAAATTTATACAGTTGAACGACGAATAGTCGCGATGTTAGCTTTTAATTTTCCTCGCAACGTTTCAACTTTCCATGTCAAAGGACACGTTACCGTGTAGAATTCTGTTCTATGAATTTTTAAACAAGCAAAAGAGGTTCGTTTCAGTTCTACTTTGAATTTCAGCCAGCTACTACTGTTATTACTACGTTTAACAGAATTAAGTGAATTCAGTTCATGGAACGATAAATATCTCTTTGCACGTTTATCCTGGAAAGAAACTTTCGACCGTCCCTTTGTATTATGTAAATAGAGCTCTAATTTCCATCAAGCTATTTATTTGTCTTCTAAAATATACGTAGGAACGTTGAAACAACGTTACATAACTAATTACAAGATAAATTCGCTCGATTGTTGGTTATACGCGATATTATTTTATATTGTACGTGTATATTGGTTTAATACTTGTTGGATGATAATAAATAAATAATAGTGATAATAAATATCGATTAAACACCCTTCTTATACGTTAACGTCAAATTCATTTGTAAAATACGCATAGAAGAACGACAAATTATTAGCAAAAGATACATTCGGTACATAGAGGGAAGTGTACTCTTGAATATGCAATTTGTTTCAAGTCGATATCTCAAGTAGTTCCCGAGATATAGGGGTTAAAGTAGAAGTGCGTTTACTTACGGAAGTGGACTAATTCCGTGACCTACTTTTTCTAGGGAATGCGTAACCGCTTATGTAATACGTTGAATAACAAAAAACAGCTGACTCAGCGTCTACAGCTGACCAGCGCACGTGCAGCTGCCTAGGTAGACTGTGTGTGAGAGCGAGTGAGAGGTCCGAGTGTGGGAGAAGGACAGAGATAGGGAAACGGTAAAAAATACCATTCGCTTTGTACTGCGATATCTCGCGAACCACACATCCGATCAACGTGAAACAAAAAGCACAATAAAGTAGAAGATTCCCCGCTTCTTACGATGTTAATTATATAAATAAAGATTGAATAATTTTGGAGTTATAATTATGCAAAGTTTTCACAATTTTAATACGTTTTATTGGTAATTTCGAAGGTATCGGCGAGAAATAAATGGAATTTTGAGATAATATCGTTTATACCGATTCCATTTAACGTCATTAATATTGTATGTAATAGCGTTTTCTGCAATTTTGCTTGTTTTCAGAACAGTTAGATTTTCGAATTATCCCAGCGGCTGTAATTCTATTAGAATCAATTAAGTGAGAATTCTGCTGTATTTGCCAATGATACCGAATGAAATTTCTCATAGTTTGGGATATTTTAATCTGAGCGGAGTGCATGTTTGAAGCTCGAGTATCCGTTAAAGTTTGGAGAAGTTGGAACGTTTGGTACACGAGTCGATGATTAAGTTGTCCATTCTTCGAGGCTGTTCGTACGTTTCGGTACGATCTAATTTTAGGTTGTGTGTATCTTTTCGAAGTTATCGGAAATGAGGACGTGGTTGTGGATCAGCATCGCGTGACGGAATTCTAGATGACTTTCTTCTACCTTCCCGATTTTTGGAAGAAACTGAATTACAATTTTACGCTTCGTCTGTGCTTCACAGGGCCTTCGGAACGTGACCGTATGTTGTACGTGCTTGTCTAAATTTTTCCTCGAACGTAAAGTGTTCTCGTCGATTCGATGATATTTTTGTTTTCTTTAGAAATATCGATTGTATTTTACAGTAATTGTATTTCTGATCGTACGAATTCTTATTTCAAGCGCATTCTAGTTGTCTAACGAGCGTGAATCATTTCACGTTCAAAGCAATTGCGAATTATTTTCAGTTCTTTTCATTCCGTGGCATTAAAGCGTTGTCCATTTATTTCACGGTACGTTAAACATCAGTCCTCAGTTTTTTACCGGGGAATTATTAAAACGCTAACAGCCGGGACAGTATTCTTTTTTCATTGATATTTGTGCATCGAGAATTTTTTAAGTATCGCCAGAGCCACAACCGTTAACGAGCCGATTTTCTATAAGGTTAGGAAGCTTCAGATCGGTAACGAGAGTGATAGTTAATCACCTCCTTGCTTTCAAAGAGCAACTATGTACGGCGGTAGTTGTGCGTTCAGGGAAGTTACTCGAAAGGTGGACTTTTATCGTTAATATTTTAAACTTTTAACTGCTTGAGAAAATTGAAAATTGGAATATTGGAAAATTTGAAAGTTTGAATATTCGGAAATTAGTAAAAATTTGGAGGTTTGAAAATTTAAAAGTTTGTAAAGTCGAAAATTGGAATGCTTGAAAATTTGAAATTTGGAATATTTGGAAATTAGAATATTCGCAAATTGGAATATTTGGATATTGGAATATTTGAAAGTTACAGTATTCGAGAATTTGCAAGATTGAAAATTTAAAAGTTTGCAAAGTTGAGAATTTGAATATTTGCAAATTTCCTCAATTCTTAATTCCCTAAAATTTCTTTCGGTATCGTTCAAATTTCTTGTTGCCGCTGTCTTCAAAGTATGAAACCGCGTTGCATCAAACTTAACTGCAAGTGAGCTGGCAAATACTCCTAACAAGAACATGAACCTAGCAAACATAACATCCCTTCTTCAATTGTTACCCGTTGCTGCGGAATTTCTACATTGTATAAAGTTGTCTTACATCAACTGTTTCTATTAACGGTAGAAAGCCGTCAAGCACGGTGTATGTACTTGGAAGTTTGTAATTTCTTGCTAACCACTTACTTCTCTGTTGACAGTTGGGTATCACACAACTTCTCCCTTTCTCTATAATACACGCCAGCTTTCGAGAACAATTGCAATTTCACTTTGAAAACTGTTATTTTTCATTGGAAAAACATTGTCCACTCTTTTCCACCTCGGTTCGTTCATTTGCATAATTTTACAGGATCAATTTGAACTGTGATTAAAAACTTGAGAGTCAATGAATATTTAAGTAATCCCGCTCCTTTTCATTAACCGAGAGTTCTTCAACGAGGGCCCCGTTTAACGCCACTCGAATTAATTACCACGCGAAAAGGATAACCCCTTTTTCGTACAACGATTCCCTCTACCTATACTGTAATTACACCTATCGATCGATCCCTTCTCTCGCTATCTCGTTACTAAGTAACGAAGATTAATCGGTGTCTTTCATTAAACAAACTTATGCGGTGTCGAATGAACGATATTATCGTCAATTGATCGATCGAGAAACAACCATCTATTACGATGTTGTATTATTCAGAGCGATTCAAGACGACATACCGGAAGCTGTTGTAATAAGTCACGAGACAGCTACTAGTTTCAGTTTTACGTTTAAGCTAACACTGTTAAACACACGTGTTGTTAAATCGAACGATTATTTACAGATTACTCGCACCGAATATAGTTTCTTAACGTTGAAATATATCGACACTTGTGCATACAAAGTTCTCAATTTTCTTGTCAATGTTTCCTCGTTTCGCGATGAGTTTGTTTTCAAGTTTCTTTCCGGGTTTCTCTCCAGGACCGCTGAAAATGTGTCCACAGATCTTTTTACGACGTTGGACACTTCTGTGTAGTTCATCTCGCAATTTCTGCTCGAGATTGAACCTTGTCCTATGTTTGTTTGGTATTAATTGTTGTAAAATACGAGCCATATCGGTAAAAATATATTCCTTAACCCTTTCACTGCTATTGACGCTTTGAAAATTTGTTCGCATTCTGCCTTTGGAACCTTTTCGCTCATTTCCATATTAATTTAAGCCTTAATTTTATCCTCCACACTCTTCCACGTTAATTCAACGAGAGAAATTTTGAAATGTGTGAAAAAGCAAAATTTTGCTGCCATTGTAGAACATCTGAATCTGCCACGCGCGTTTTGTGCTAAAATTTGCCGCAGCGAAAGGGTTAAAAATAATTGTTAGCAATAGAAGAGTTCGTATCGATTTATTGTAAAGTAAATCAAGGTGTCCCGCGACTTATGGTCGAGGATATATGTAGTATTTTAATTAAAAAGTCTCTCATCTTGATGGTACAATATCGAGTCACCGTGTTCGTGGAACGTCGAAGCAAGCGAAGAGGAGAGTTGCGAACCCATGGAAGGATTTGCCTGCAGAAATTAATTAATTGAGGCTATTGAAACATTCATAGTGTTAGCTGACGGGGTAATAAGGCCGCTTTTGTTCGGTATTCCAAACGACCAGCCTCGACGCTTCGTATCGCTTGGATCGTTGTCGATCGTGCGTCCCGATGCGCGTTTCAAATTAATATGGTAATGAGGCCGATTTGTGGACCGCGCTGCAAATTGTTTCGTTATTGCGTCGGTTATTTTCGATCGGTTAATCAGTTTATGGTAATGACGGGATCCCGAAACGAGCCCGCAAAGAAACAAATGCACGTGGATAAATTGGCGAAGATTTTCATTCACTTTACCAGTGAACGGAGAGGTTTATTCGTTAAATAAATTATCATCGCATTACGCGAAGACAGGGAGGATAAGGGAAAGATGTTTGAGAGAGTTTTCTGCACTTTCGTTTCAACTCTTTCGTCGAGTTGGGAGTTTGTTTGGAAGTTTTTTTTTGCGAGCTTGGAAATTTTAATGAACCCTTGGTTGGATGTGAGGGAA